TAACGGAAAATGTTGAGTAACAGGAGATGTTTAAATAAATTCAAATGAACAATCTTTCAGTGAAACGCTCACTTTTTGTTATCAGAGATTAATGTAATGTAAAAACAAGAAAGATTTACAAATCAGCAACTATACATGCATGAAGACCTTGTCAATGCCGTGAATTTTGGATTAAATATAAACGAATCATCATGGCGATATGGATGCCATACATAATTCACAAATAACATTTTTTTTAAGAGAAGGACGATAGTCAAAGACTGTGGAAATTTAATAAGAAACTGGAAAGTAGATAGAAACATTGTTACAGTGATGGAAATGTTTGCAGATGAGAGTAAGTTTAAGATGAAATTTTAATAATTTAATTATTGTTAACCAGTTAAATTTTTCGAGGAATTGATATTAAATGTAAGTTATATAGCTCTATTTTGCTTATATTATTTGGAAATTTGAAACGAGTAATTTATCAACCATAACAATAAATTATTACTTTGTTGATTATTTTTAAAAAATGAATAAAAGCAGTATTATGAAAGCTAAACTTACCAAAATTCTCAAACCCCGTGTTTTCTACTTTATCTGTTAAAAGTAAACAGAGGAAAATATTGTTTATAATTTATAAACTCAAAAACACTACGTACGTGCAACAAACAATAATTATTAAAGACAAAAAGATTGATAAAGGCGATTAAATGTTAAAAAAAAACTTCTCAGAATTTAATGATAATCTGTATTCAGTTTGCAACTGATGACTTACGTTTCAGTTTCTGTATTTCTTGGGTGTTTTCCTCTACATTTGAGACCAGCGACTCTGATTTGAAAAAAAGCTATGCTTAAGTTGACTTGCATTTTAAGGTCTTCATATTAAAAGTTTGACATTGATATTTTAACATTACATAATGTAGACGTACTTTTTTCCACTGGGTCATAATTCCGCAGAATCTCAATTTCTGTTGTATTCGCGTGTAGAAAATTACGCAGATTTCATTGACTGTCACTATATGCATTTGATTGATATTAAGTACGCTTGGACAAATTTCCGCGGAAAAATTATGACCGCGTACAAAGCCTAAAAAATTACCACGCGGGAAAAAGTACTTCTACAGTATATCTATATTAATGCTTTTCAATGCTTTTAACGTTTTCTGTTTTTCAGATATTATCTATCTTAATATAGATATGTAATTTTAGATTTCACATATGCAGACGATGTTCATATATGGACATGATTACAGAATTAAATCTCCCTCGCTATTTCATTATAATTATGATATACATTTGGATGCAAAACAGATGGAGCTACTATACGTTTCACATTATGAAAAAATTATTCACATACTCTTAAAACGTTTGTTTTCATAAGGATTACGAATTAAGGTACGATGGAGGAGACCATTTTAATGATATTATCTTGATTCAAGTTATTTTTCTCCTCGAAAAGGTAAGTCATGCCCTAATAGGAGGAATTTTCTTCATGAACGCAAATAATAAACCACCAACGATATTTACGATATACACTAGACAAAATTGCTAACGCACCACAAGTTAATTTTTATTTGTGAATTGGACATTTGCCAAATCTGTACTAGTGTATATAATATGCCATTATATCCAAAACAGTGGGATTGACAAATGCATTGGTATCATGAAAAGACCCTTCAATGACCCTCTTGTTTGAAAAGCAATTTCCAGCTGCTCACAGCGTACCATTTTTGCCCAGATATAAAATTCTTGATCAATATAGGTGGTTTGTGAGGTTGCCAGGTGATTCTCATGTAGCCTAGTAATCATCCGTTGCCTTAATGTCCATAGCAAATCCATTCACATTTCGGTTGACTGTTTTTTTAAAACAATTTTCAACTTATGGTATATTACTAACTTAAAGTCGTGGCTTTTTGTAGTAAACATTTTTTTATGTTTGATAATCTATTTACAACAGATTTTCAAGAGTGAAAATCATACAGTATTAATGTTTTCATTTTTTACAGACTTCTCTAAAGGACCCTCTCACACTGTAATAACTGTGTTTAGCATTTAAACACTTCCATGACGTGTTTAGATCTAAACAAGTATAGAAATATGTTTAACAACTAAACACTTATGTCTAAACATGTTTTATATCTAAACGTGTTTAGAAATTAAACACGTTCTGCAGTAAAATCTTCCCGGAAATGACACAAAATATGTTAATTTGAGCGGCGATTGAAACAGAGAAAATCACAAAAGGTTTAAGGGACGTATCAAGGAGAGAAACTGACAACCCAACGGATAACCATGAAGAAATATTGAAAATCATTTGAAAGGCATCTTTTTACTACAATATATTAAAGGTATATTTTCGCTTTATTAAGATTTGCATTATTAAACCACGATGAGTAACGTAAACAGTGCTTTGAGGTCGTTTATTATGTGTTTATAGAATTGAAGGAGAAGAGTGTATATTGAACTTCATTAGAAATAACTGTTTTAATTTAAGTTAGTATAGTTTCAATGCAACTTGAAAAAAAGATGTCATCTTCAAACTGGATATTTTTAAGTGGTGCTGTATTGAAATCTAAAATAAACTGTGGATGTAATGAGCCACCTTAAATCTGTCTTCTTTCTTACAGGTTATGTGTGTAGTCCGGATTGAACTCAAAGCATGCATGTATCAAAGTACCTTCTTCAAATTGTTGTTCCATGATCAACACTAAGAAATGTATATTTATTGAGTGTATTGGATTACCTCTAATTCGACAATGCTCGACGGATTTGAATATATGTACCCAAAATCATCAATTTGTGATTATCCTTGTGCATTTAAAATGGATTACTTTTCGGCAGTTACTGATGGATATTATATCATGTGGTGCTATGTAATGCTGTAGGATTGGTGAAAGTTAATCAAGTTTGACATTTTGATGACTGACATATGGAACACTCTGCAACCGATTGAAACTGTAATAAATCATATAAAAATTATTATATCAAATAAATATTTGATAATTTTAATTGAAATATCTTTAATAAAGCATTATTACAAAGATTAAAGAAAGTGTTGATATAAAATTGCTATTTTTTTTTTGTTTCTGTTGCTCATCTCTGCGTTATAGATATAATGTATGTCATGCTGAATGAACTTATACAGATCAAAATATTAAATTTGTGTAAAACATCACACAGGTGTAAAGTATCTACATGTACATATCTAAACAATCAGAGGTCTTATGATGAATAATTTATATCGGTTAATATTTTGACATTTTTGACAATAATCATGATAATATTATGTGTATCAAGTAATATGCACTTTGTGACAAAATTTACAAATGTCTATATTTTTTTTTAAGCCACACTTGTTTTATTATGTGAAATATAGATATGTCTAATTTCTAATCACACAATAAAGAAGAGGTGTTTAAATTCAAACACTTTTCTTAGCACTTTTTGTCACCTTCCTCTTTATATGTTTAATTCCTAAACATGTATTATTATACCTCATTATAAATATTCTACACAAGGCGTTATCTGATTGGTTCTAGGTTATCACGTGATCGGGCCGTAAAACTTCATATATCCCGTCGTCGGCACGCTTTTCATCATATTCCACCTCTTCGGAGTACCTAGTGAATTTTCCCGCAATATAGGTCTCGTTCGTTGAACGAAAACTCCCGAGAGTAGTAGACGTCACAATAGCCTGGTTTACGTCACAAAACTGATGACAATGTGATGACCAAAGGGTTTTATAGTAACTTTACGTTAACAATGAAAGTGAATTTGAAAGCGGTGCCGAATTTGAAAGTTTAAGTTTATTTCAAAGGCTTTACTTGTTTCGGTATAATAAACAATTCATTGCATGAATGTTCGGGAAACATGAAGACTTATTCAGCCAAGAAATATCATATTCCCCTCGGGGAATATGATTTTCTTGGCTGAATAAGTCTTCATATTTCCCTCACTATCATGCAATAAATGTATAATATTTCTAAACAAACGAAAAAGTGTTTAGTTCTAAACACATTTCTCGCAGTGCACCTTCAGACAAGATACTGTCTGCATTAGCAAGTTCTTCTTGGGCCAAACGCCTCATACGGTGTAACTTATTTTCTGAGTTTCTAATTAGTTCAAATGTAAAAACACAAATAAAAAGAAACAAATGAATATTTTTCTTCAAAAATGGAACATATCTTATTTTTCTATGAATTGATCTTACTTTAGTAAACATTGTTAGTAGTTATTTATATGGTTTGACATTAATATACCTCATTTTTTGTTAAAGTGACATATCTACTGGTATATATCAAATACATCATAAAAAAGATTTTAAAAGTAAAATATTAATTCTATTAGGTGGGGCTCAGCAATTTGGTCTAGTGTATATTTCTAAGAACTAGTTATATTCTTTCTTGTTTTTTAAATGATTGCGTGCAATGTAAGAGATAGACATTATTTTGAATTGAAACAAAATAATTCAATTTCAGTTGTAACATGTACTAGTAATTTGATTGGGTTAAATATTTAACCAATTTTGTTTAACATAACTTGCCTACATCACTATGATTTAGGTCAAAAAGGTATTACTCCGGTTTACGTTACTTTTTAAATATTCTTAATTCAAGGAAGTTCTAAACACTAACAGAAACTATTTTTTAGACTCAGAGAAAAATATGCATATTAAGACTTTTTATCTCATAAATTATGAAATTAACGGTAAATAACAACTACTTTAATCTTAAGCTAAGGGCAGATCACTCTAACTGCATAAAGTTACCCAATAAAACCCAATAAGTAGAGCTCTTTAATGTGCAGTGTTTAGAGCGTCCTTAAAGCCTTTTCTTTGAGAAAATATTTACTCATTGTCTACACTGAAATTAAATTATAAGGAATGAAGCTCATCAGTTTCAACTTATGTAATACGATATAACATAACAGTTTACACTTTTTATTAACCGCTTGGCGTATAACAAAAGTTGAAATAAGCGTATTCCTTAAATGTATAAACCAATATACTGTACCTAGTATTGCAAGCTGTTTTATCCATTTCATTTCCTGTTCCGGGTCCATGTTGTCTGTTTTGATAAAGTCTACCGATTTCTGATGTTTTGAAACGCCAAAATAAATATCAACATCTTCAGCAATTTTGCGAATGTTCATAAACTCAGTCTGGAAATCGGCATCGGGTATACCTATAACAACAGCATGTCCATAGTGTTTGTTTCTGAGTAGTCTTATACGCTCCATATTTGCCGATACACTTCTGTCTGTAGGGTCAGGATCATTACCCCAACCTTGACTGTGTGCAGGTAGGTTAGTCACATTACGCAGGAGAGTATAAAGTAAGGATATATCCATATCAGAATAATCTCCCGCATAGTTTTGGGAAGATGGCGGAAAAATCAAATCGTTTTGTGATTTATTGAGCGGATTCCTCTTCTCTGACTTCTTCCAGCTTTTAACTTTCTTGGATAGATCATTTGCAGGCACCTCATTAAGGAGCACATCTCTCATGATGTCAGCACAGGGCCCCAAAATCAGTCGGGAGATCCGTGCTAAGTTTGTTGTCTGTGGTGTAGAGGCGTACTTTGAACAAGACATGACCTGGATTCCTTACTGTTGTATTTTACTTTTATTATGTTTCCGATAGCTGCATATCTCTTTCTTAATTCCTTGTCTTTGAAAAACTCAATGTAGAAAGGGTTTATGAAAAGCGAAAAAGTCCTTTTGTCTGAAAGAAAGAGAAATTAGTTACATACAGTACCGACCAGGATCAACCTGACACCCAAGCAATCCGAGAAAGCAATGCTCTGGGACTCTTGTATGACTGCCCTGGGACCGCTAAGGGACTGCTCTGGGACCGCTGTGGGACTGCTATAGAAAGCAGCCCAGCTGTCCCTTAGACTGCTCTCTGGAACTGCTTTGTTCATTCATGTCTGAAAGAGCTTTGGGGTGATACGATAGCTCCGCTGCCTAATGTACTTTAATTTGCAGACTCCCTGTTCTTCTGGTTACTTGCAGCAGAGAAGAGTGTAAACTAGTAACAAAACAAGAGTTTCTTACAATCTTATAACAAGTAGAAATTACATGTGTTATAGTTAATTGATATTTACACAAATTAAGGTAGGTTTCTACTCACACAAAACATATCGTATATTTAAAAAATTATGAAATTTTCACGTGCACAGAATCAGGAAGACAATATTACTAAGCGATGGTTTCAGTTAGATTACTTTTGACCTTTTTAGAGTCAAGGTTAAATTAATTTGACATTATAAAAAAATAAAACTTGGTAAAGAGCTACGGTCATGTTATGCATAAAATAGTTCTGTAGATATTCTTATTTGTTGATTAACAAGAAACAACTGATGTTCCATTTGAAACATGAAAATAAAAAGAAAAATATAACAGAGACTTGGTGCTTTCATTTCCTATTAGAAATTTCTCCTAAAAGTCTAGGTCTTGGAAAACTGGCTCTTGAAATTGCAATGTTCTTGAATTTTTAAGGTAAATAGGTACATTTAAATACTTTCAATGAAGATAAAAATATGAGCGCACTCTCTGATTTAAAAATTAAAACATGTCTTTTAATCCTCATAAACAATTCTACAATTTAGTCGCATCCTTAGAATTAGAGGTTTCGTTCTACATTAAATATCGTAAATAACTGAAAACGTTGGCCATTTTTGGAAGCGTTTTTCCAGCATATGAGGCACATTTCGTGACGTCATATGATATTTTCTATCCAGAAAATTACGTCATGTTTTAAAGATAAACAAACACCAAGATTTAAGTGTTTAACAATGCATTGTTAACTAAAACAAAGCAGTTTCAGTTTTTCAGAAATGCACACGGCCAAAAAAGGCATAAGTGAACCTTGTTCTTAACAAAAATTGTAAAAAGCCCCAATACTTAAGAAAAAGCCTTTCGAGTATCCCAAAAGTATGGAAAATGGCTTTACTCTATAATGATTAAATCTATTCAAAGTTAATTCTGGTGGATAATAATCAATTAAAATTAAAATTTTCCGTATAAAAATATGGGAACCAGAATCAATACAGAAAAAAGAAATTGAATTATAAATAAATAAGATAATTGTGATTACAAATTAAATAGTCATGCTCAGTGTAATTCATCTATGTATATGTGAAAGCTTTCTTTCTTCAATAAATATTATTTGTTTCTATATGCGTACTGTTCATAACTGTAAATGACCGTCGCATTGTAAGGAATACATATATTTATAAAAGTTATGGTAAAACACGTGTTTTTGTTATGTATGCAGATTAAGTCCATCGGTAAGAGATTGATTGGTTGTTCCTTTGTTTACGGGTGAATAGGTTGAATCCGTGCTACGCATGATTCAGTCACGTATAAGGTAGCTTTTCGGGTATTTTAAGTCATTCGAAGCTCGATGCGACATTGCAACAGACTAATCTCCCCCACCCACCCACCCTTCCAGTATCGATATTTCGTAGATGTTCGTATTAATGTTGACTTATCGCTTATTTGAATCTTTTTCTTTGTAGAATGATATGGATTTCAGAAGTTAACTAAAGACTGTGTTTTGTATACTGTATACACTTCATTAAAGTCTGTTGCACTCGCGCATGCGAGCTCATCCTATTTAAAGTGTTTTTGAGTTTATTTATAAATAATTTATGTTCGTTTGAACTGGTGAATTTAGAACATAATGGCATATATACAACCTAAAATAAATTTCAGCTGCCTTCTATAGTTCCATTTTTTATTGGAACTCTCATTTTGAGTTAATCATAACTGACTGGACTGATCTGAGACTACTTTCACCCATTCTCAATATAAGGGCTCAAATAATGTCGCCTCATTTTCATTTAAAAGAAATACCACTGATGTAATTTTTAAATCAACATTATAAATAGTCATATAACAATAAATAAGAATTCATATAATTTTCGATCTGAAAGGGTACTTTAGGAGTTCCAAATTCAAATATAGTAGCCTATTTGAAATATACTTTACTGTCGCCGAGGCAAATATTATTCTGAATCCCGTCAGTGTTATATATAGTTTTGATTGTCAAGTAAAAAAATTCTGATAAGTTAAACCTTGTATCATATATATTTCTTTTCATAACAATAAATACATTTTCTTTGTGATAATAAATAATTTTTATTGTGCAATGTCCCTGTCGCTTAATTCTATTTCAACCACATTACAAGCAAACACAAAGATTATACACCTGATAGTTTTGTTCTCCTTTATTTATTGATGGGTTAAATTTGAAATTTCAAAGGATTAATTACTCCTACTTAGATAATGTAACATGAAAATGAACAATTTGAGCAACTTTTATAAATATGATTACGGAATGAAAGACATTTTCAATCGTAGAGATAAGAAAGAAATGTACGTTACCTATATTCTTCCATTAAGAATATATATTAAGTAGAAAATATGAGACGACTCTGAATAAGCAACCCCTTGTATCCTGTAAACTGGCAAAGACGTTTTGCTTAACACAATTAAAAATTATTTTTTACATGAAAAGTGATCATTTGAAATGTACGTTACTGAAATGTACGTTACCATGAAATTCGAATTAAGTGAATCTCGCACGAATTTTCATGTATTCTCATACTTTCACACACTCGAATGTGTACACAAAGGAAAGTTTCAAAGGTTGGAGGTCGGCTAAATCCAAAAATTAATGAAAAGGAACGTTTCTGCTTAGGAAAAAAAATATATTAAGGTCAATTATATGTAATATAATTTTGATACCTGGTATATATTTCTGAATACGAAACCTGTATGATGCATTTCTTATGATATGCAAGTTCAAATAGTATCAATATATTGCGTGTCTAACGTACGCTTGTGGAAGAGAATTGATTTTTATATTTGAAATGTACGTTACGTATGGTAACGTACATTTCACGTATTTCAAACTTACATTTTTTTTTTAATTTAGTCAATGAATTGCGTTTAAACGAGCGAAACAAAATTATCGTTACAATCCATTTGACAACTGGCCACATAATCCATCTAAATGCACCCCCAATCCTCGTCAATGTTTTAGACTGTTACCACATGCAAGAAAATTTATTTTTAAGTGTTTTAAATTCATCTTTGGCAACCTTTTTGCCGTTTGTTTACTTTTAATGTGCGACTTTTCGTTAATATTAATTTAATAGTTGTTGATAATTTATATAATTAATTAAAACAATGTATGCAAGGCTTATAATTGGTAAAAAAAAAACAAAAAAAAAAGAAAGAAAGAAAAAGAAACAAAACAAATAACCCAGAACACAAGACGGTAACGTACATTTCAAATACTGAAAGGCACACAATACTCAGTTTTGTTTGAATCATTGCATTTTGGGTTATATTTTTCCAGATCTGCTGAAAAGCACGTATGTTTGTGATTTGAAAAACGATGTTGCAACATACTAAATGAAATTCTTAACAAACTGTCGATGGATATATCGGAATAGATTTATGTTAAGTTTCAATGACCAAACACGAACATTTGTTAGATCATTGCAAAATACGTCTGACTCTTATATTTTTTGTCTGTACCCTTGCACAAGGTAGAAGTAACTAGGCTACGACCTGTGTCAATTTCAGCGAAACAGCACAAAAGAATGGTAATGAACTGAGGTGGAGGGGACTCCCAATAATATGTAAAATGAACGTTACCGAAGTGACGTGACATTCATGTAGTTGATGACAAATAACCTCGTTTGTTACATTATGATTTCTTATATTAATGCCTTAAAACGCTTCATTGAAATGATTTTTATGTCAATAATTGCTTTTTTTCAATATTTTCTTATTACTAATTTACATATTATTACAAGCTTGAAATGTACGTTACCTACTCATATTCTGAGGCAATCGTGTCTTTATAGTGGTGATTGTGACATATAACACAATGTGATTACATAGAGAATCTTTTTGGAATTAAACTGAAACAAAACGATGAATTTTTGGATGAATTTTAAGCTTTTTATTGAACAGAAATTTATCTTGAAATGTACGTTACATTTACGTAGATTTCTAAATCGGCATGGATATATGTTAAAAAAGACAGTAACTACAAAATAGAATTTTACTACATGTACATGTTAGGTTCCAGTATCTATAGAAAATGACAAGATTCCAAACTGATCGCTCTTAACAAAACAGAGAGAGGAATTGAAAGCATATATTTAAAAAAATGTTTTTATACATCTGGATCAAAAAGTAACCTTTGTTTTTTGAAAGGAAAAATCAAACGCACGTTCGTATGTCGAGAAAATCTGTTGCTGACAGAGTTGGTAGGATGTGCTGGTGTTAAGATGAGATATTCCAATTGTTATTTGAATGACTACATTTTTTTTACATATCTTTTTGGACATTGAAGAAAGAGTAACGTACATTTCAAGCTACATTTCTGAATAAAATCACCCTCTTCTTTATCGTCTTGTCATTATTCAATGTATTATAATTTGATGAAAAAAACTGGAAACAAAATCTTCAGATACTTTCTTTTAAAGGTAATTGATAGAAAAATTGTTATCTTGAACTTCATTTTTTAAAAAATCAGAGAGGCATTTGTGCCCTTATTGAGAATGGGTGTTTGTTGGGTACTGGTCGGTACAGTATTTATTTAGCATTCATAAAACCATTGAGAGTT